CTCTCATAAACTGGCTCGACTATAGCAGGATGTGAATCGCAGGGATGCCTCCGAACAGAGGACCTTTGTTTTTATTAATCCCTCAGGGATTTCTAAGGTCAGTGAAGCTTGGCTGCGGTCCATCTAAGTCACATGTGTCTGTTTGGGCCTGTGTGTTTGTCTGATACAGATGAGCCTTCTGATTCCTGCGGGCATTTCAGTGATGTAGGTCTCTGAGCCACTGATGCAATGATTGTGCACACTGTGATTTCACTCAGAAAAGTTTCCTAGTTCCCATGGTCATCTTTGAATAAAAAAATCAGCTGACATTCAGAGTGATCTTTTAAAGGCTTTGGTCAATGCTTAGCCTTTTGGTTTAGCATTTAGAAACCTTTTGGTCTGTAGATCTATAGCTTGTGTGTCGTTGAGAGAAGGTGCGGGCCAAGGAGGGCGAATTAGAGCATGAAATAAGCTTGTCATGACTGAACGTTGTACAAACAAAACATAGTCAATTTGACATGAACAGTGGATCAATGGTTTCCAGCAGAGATGAGCACATTGATCAGTAAAAATACAGAGAGCTGCCCTCTGTTTCCAGTGTGCCTTTGTGCTCCACATCTATTTATAGAAAGCCTATGGCAGCAGATGAAGGCACGGCATCAGGGGCCTATTCAGAGTTAGAAGGTAAACTGACCCCAAGGTCAGTGCACAATAAGTGGATGCTTTGAAACTGTGTTTTTACCTTTTTGAAACTCTATGGTTCGGCCCGCCTCTGACATCTCACACAGAGAGCTCAAAGCAAAAGAATAAACACATCTCTTCAAAGGTTTGATCCCCGTAGGATGTATGTTGTCTCTCTTGCACCATGTTTCTCCCATGTTTGGTGTCACAAGAGAAACACATACGGCTACTTTGACTCCACCTGACTCTGTTCTTATTAGCTGCACTGCAAAAAAATTTAATGGAAATGTTTCAAGAGTAAGTACCAAACATGACCCCCACTTTAATGCACTTTCATGTTATTTGATCCAACCTGTTAAGTGCATTCTGTATCACCCTGAAGGTCCAACAGGAAATACCACAGGACGCCAGACAGAGTAACCCAATAAAAGCAAGAGCGCCCAAATCATTAGTGGGAAACACGCTCACATAACACATCCAGATGTACCGGCTAATTGGATTTTACCATTAAATCAACAGTTGTAGCGCCTTTGTGCTTTTATGAGTCTCACTGCAAGGTAAGGGGGAAATGGGCCGTTTGAAGTGACAAAACTTAACCCATGGTTGTTTTAGCATGGAGACTGACGGAGGTTGGTCGTCAGCAGAGCATGCAAGGGACCTATGTGTTTTTACTCCCTCAATGAGTTCAGGAACCTCTCTGCAGTTAGCAACGTAGGCTCATTAGAGGCTGATGTAAGAAAGATGGCGAGCATTGAGGTAATTGGCGTAGAGAGGTAATTTCCCTTCTGTCACGGCTGCCCCAAGAGCTACAGGTTAGCCACAAGAGAGATGAAACTCAGGGAACAGGGAGGGGTGCATGGTTACGTAAGAAGTTGCTGTTAATAAGAAGACCCTCTCTTGGGAGAAACATCCCCTATGACTGGAGAAATCATCCCCTGACGATGAACACATCCGCCTCAGTCCTCTCAGGATGGCATGATGAAACTCTGCATGTACACAAGCAGGAAGACACGCTGTAGGCAGGAAGTAAGAGAGGAGAACGAGATGAATTTTATTAAAAAAGAATCCAATAGGAATATATTTTGTTTAAGATCATGTAAGAGGGCTTTTAGAGTCATCCAGCGATCTCTGTATTTAACAATAGACATCCTCAGTCTGAGATACATGAGGGCTTTGAAGTTCAGAGAACAAGGAACAACAAAACATGGCTGACTCACTCCCACCCACACATGGATCATCCGCTATTAAGGGGAACAAAACATTTTCGAGCCGGATCAAATTAGTTAGAAGGAGTGTTGTTTGTCCAGCCGTAGTGTCTGTTGCAACACTTGAGTTCAGCTCCCTTCCTTCTCTCGTCTGACTCCCTGCTGGGTTTCATCATGCACAGTGTGTCACAAGTCAGCAGTGCTATGGTGATTAAGCTGCAGAGCTGGGGAGTTGAACTGTAGCTGTAACAGTGATGCTGGTGTTGTGAGTAAGCTTGTTTTGTTAAAAAGGAACGAGTCCCCAGCTTCTGACCACAGTTCCTCAGAATAGAGCACAAAGAGGAAAAGGGCACAAAGTTGTTGTTTTTTTTTCAAGACATTTTCAAGTCTAAATAGTTTTTTTTTTTTATGTCTAAGTTGAAGTAGATTAAAAAATGGTGCCTCTGGATGCGTGTGTGTAAGTTTGTAGTCTGACATCCCCGGTTCAATCCAATAAGCTATAATGGCCTTTCATTTAAATTTAGAAAGTGCCAGGAGCACTCCACTGGTCTAGCCCACTTGTTCCCTCATCTCTACCCCCTGTCTCCCTCCGTGTTGCTGCTCTCATGTCACAACATCCACACGCGCACGTACACAGACAACACACACAGACATGGTGTTTGATATGAGGGAGGTGACAGACAGTCACGCCCCAGCCCTGGAGAGTAGAGCAGAGTGGCTCTCCTGCAGGGACGCTGACGTTCACACTTAAATGCTTTAATAGGACTAAAGTAGACAAAGGCCGCTGGTGACGCAGTAGGAGCTATAATGGGCTTGCCACATTGCAGGTTTACTGGACCCTGCCTATTGGACAGAGCTATTTCCAATCCCACAATCCCTCATCGGCCTCAGGAAGCTAGTTATAAATAAAAAGTGTAGGTTAATCGCTGCTAACATGCCCCACCAAAATGTCTCGGTTTAGTTGTATTTTTGGAGCAGCAGGGCAGTTTATTAGGGTCAATTTGGCTGAGACAGGGCACTGCTTATTTATGTAGATGTTTGGAGAATTTAGTTTGATTTTTAAAAAGACAGAAAAAAACCCACATGTTATTTATATATAGTGTAGGAAAAAAAATGTTTTAAGCATGCAACAAAATCCCCAAAAGAAATTTAACCATTCCTGGAAAAAGACTAAATGGCAAAACTGTCTCAGATTTTGCAGCATGGTTGTTTTTGTGTATATATAGTGTGCTAATTGAAAATCACAGAAGTAGGAACATTTCAACATTTTATTTAGCTTTTTATTTTTAGAATAAAGTACAGAATCAGGCAAAAAACATACAGTCATTTATTATAAATAGGGAGTCCGTTGTCAGGATAATTGTCATTCATGTGACAGGCTGACTTCCTCTTTTGATCAATTCTGCCTTAGCCCATGTGGAGGTCAGCCTGCAGGGTCAGAGCTCGCCTGCTCTGACAGATACTGTGACAGATGGAGCTCTGGGTCTTTAGCCATCATTACCTTGGACTTGAAAGCTTGTTATTTCTCACACCATCCTATCCTACTTGAATGCCCAAACTAATTCAGTTCAAGGCCATGAGCTTGCTTAATTTATTTGGCTGTTTTGTATCAGTAAAGAGAGGTTACTGTTACTGAGAAATATATTTGTGAAACACATATCGCAACATGCATCACAGCTAAAAATATTTAATTTAGATGATTAATTTAAGTTCTGAGATTTAAGAGGAGAACTATGGGTTGAAAGTCAACATCCAGTCCTGTTGTTGTCTTTGTTTTTGCTTAATGAAGTAGCACAATTATTGAGGATGCTTTTTTTATGTCTGGGTTGAGCCTGCAAGCTGTGCATTTCCTCCTTGGCTTCATGGTTGTGTTGTGATAAAAGGGTTGAGGGGTTAAATGTTTGTCCAGCTGAAACAACACAGTAAAAACTCCTTCTCTGTGTCTCTGTAGCCGAGTCGTCAGAGCTCAGGACCTAAAAATAGCCACGCTGGCTCCACGCCCCTGGCTGGGGGACAGGTCAAATTATGAAGGAAGATGAAAAATTTAAAGGCACAGGCTGCTTGGCCACAAACTCAGCCCTGCATTAGTGGTCAGATAGAGCGTTGACTTAACTTTGACGGACTGGGTCAGGTTATATTAACCATGGTTCGTTGCCAGTTTCGGTGCGATGTTAAGATCTTTATTTGATAGTATCACTGAGCTCACAGTGTATTTTTTACGTTTCCTCTTTGCATTTCCTCTTTTTAGTGCTTTGTGTTATTTTGTACATCTCTAACTATACACCATCAAGAGGTGATTTAAGGAAATGGGATGTGTAAACCCAGAGAGGTGTTCTTGACACAGTTTGAGAGGGCTTTATGTAATTGCGATCATGCAGTTATGGCATCTTACAGTTGGCTTCCTTGGCTAGCTGAAAGCATGCTTCCTGAGTAGCAGTACTGCCCTGGATACACACTAAACCCCACACGTAACACCCAGCTGATGCACAGTCTTAAACGAACACACTGGTTATGTGGTGCTCCACATGGTTTAACACGGCATGTTTGGGTTTGTTTGAGATACGTGGATTAGATTTTTAGCTGAGTGCTGTCAACTTGGTTGTAGTTTTTTTTGTGGTTGGAATACAATGCTATATCTTCTCTTTTGCAACCTGCTCAATCACATAAAAAAAAAAAAAAAAACAAGCAGCCATTTTGAAAAAAAAAAAGGCTTTGACATGACATGTTGCACAGAGGTAAACTTTACCCGTTCCTCTTTTAGAACATCAAGGCAGAAATGGATCACTGCTCCCGTGTACCTGAGAGAACAAAATGAAGACATAAATAGAGTGGGTGAGAGAGACTGGTTCAACAAATCAAAAAAAGAAAAGGGGGAGGGGGGGGTGAATCAAGCCTCCATCTGCAGAGAGAGGGAGTCAGGAGACATGCCTTCTGGCAGGAGCTGAAGAAGACAGCTGTGTTTGGTGTGGTATTTTTAAACGCATCAATGCTGCTCCAATCCCCGCGCCTTGCCTGACCTATTTTTAGCCAGGGCTGGCCATTGTTCTATTTCTGTCACCTGTGGGCCACGCAGTTGTTGATTCACATGCAAATGAAGCCTGCTCCCTCCCTGGCTTGCATTACTGCTTCTGAGAGGTGCTCAGTGCACAGTACACGGCTTTCCTCGCAACTCGGCTTTCTGTTTTCTTCACTCTCTGTGGAGGAAGAAAAAGCCTCAGACTGAAGGCAGTTTTTTTTTTCCCAACAAGGCTTGACTTGTCGTCTTCTCCTCAAACTGTGTTTTTCAGTGTTTGGAGCTGGCTGAGGCAGGGCACCGGCAGAGAAGCAGCCCCACAGAGAGAGTGTGCAGTCTGTGTTAGTGCTTTACAGTGAGAGTGCTTTTTCAGAGGAGGAGGCAGAGCAAAGGAAGGGAGAGAGTTGCCTGTTGTCGTGGTCTCTCCCCTGAGTGGCTGAGGGGTGGCTCTTGGTGACAGGAAACGCAAGGCTTGCAATGAGACCTGAGCGCTGAGTGGAGTATGCTGCAGACGATTTACGAGGGCGAGTCAAGTTTCTCCACAACAGAACAGCGCGTTGGACACCAGCAGCTCCCCAACCAGAGCAAGATGCACAACGTGAACAACTCAGGTGATTTCACAGCACGGCATTTCTACTCTCCCTGAGGAATCCTAGATTTTATCCTTCTTCTTCTTTTTATTTTTTATTTTTACCCTTTTTGCATTCCAGCCTCTGTCGTTCCTCTATTTTTAAATCCGTCCCTACTTCTCCGCTATCTTCTGTGCCTCTTTCGCACACGCTCACTCTGTCCCTCTCTCCCTCTCTCACATACTCGTAACTCTTTGCGCTCAGCTGGTCTCTCATTCTGTGTGAAAAGAGAACTCAAAGCAGCAGCGTTATAGGAGCAGGCACTTCTTCCTGAAACAAGGTATTTGCTTTTGCAGTGGTTTACGGTTGCTACCATGATTTGTCTTTACCAGTTGGCTTGCTTCTTTTATTGGTCTTGAAGTATATCTTTTTTATCAGTTTAAAGTGCTGTTTATCCCTGTTAGTTTAACATGCATGGAGTGCTGTTTCTCTGCTAAAACAAGGAAATGCGTTCACATTATTCCAAGGCTCTAGTCGCCTAAAATGACTCACAGTAACATGAAAGGGATGTTGTGTTTTGCGAGCTTCCATGTCAGCGTGCACTTTTCAGGGAACAGGAAAAACTGTGACAGAAATACTGTGGGGACAACTGAGAGGATGCTCTCAGGATATTTATCACAGACATTGACTGTTCTATTTTTGACCTGAGAATTGAATTGAAAAGTACATGGATGACATCAGTATGAGTAACCTCTATTCACTGTATTGACTCAAGATGAGTCACGCCTTATTGGCTTTGATTCTTGTTTTCAGAATGTAGCTATTGATAACATGTGAAAACTGCAAATGGAAAATATCCGTAGAGTGAAAACTCTGTGGTGAGTGGAAAGATTGACATGTGGATTGCGAAAAAGTATCGGGATTGAGAAAGTCAAGACTGAGACGTGAGCTCAAAACATGTAATGGCTAATGAGTTATTTTTGTTTAATTTATAGCTGGTCAACAGTGAGAGGAGATTACAGGGTGTAAAGTAATAAAACTTAAAAATGAAATCTGAGCTGTTTTAACATTTTGGTATATTTGTTGTTAAAGAAAATACCAGGACTTGCATGTGATAATACAACAAAATACAGCCTCAAGTTTGTCTTAAGGGAAGCGAAAGGGGAAACTGAAAACATCCAGAGGCAGTGAGCTAAACGTGAGGACATTTAAAAATAAAACAGGAGGATGGCAGGGGGATGACACATTCCATCTCTGTTAATAGGTTATTCAGCTATCAGGCTGCAGGAGCAGGGCTTTCTTCTACTGTCTCATCGGCCTGTAAGTCAAACAACAGATATACTGAGTGCCTGAATCCGAGCTCCTTGCTTATTCTGTGGGTCAGCTATTCTTAGGTGAGTTATTTTCAGCTTATGGCATTAGCCTGCTAAGATTAGGCGTCTGTGCGTTATCATTCCATCTCAGCATGCTCCTGATATAACTGTGGTTTGGTACAGATATTTATAGAGAATTCTGTCATTTGCTTGTTTAATTTGTTCTTTCCACTTTATGTAGTCAATCACATAACAGCGTCTAACACTCCTGTCTATTACTGCTACCGTGGGGGTGCATTTGAGTATGAGTTTACTGGATGTAAAGTAACGTCAGAGATGTCTGTCAGGCAGATATATTTACTTTAAGACTTTCAGGAAGCTTTGTTTATCCTGCTGTGTAATGATGTTAAAGTGCCCCGTATGTAGGATAATTAGGCTCCTTTAAAACAGGCATTTAATTTTTCAAGTCTTCTGTTCTGCCATTTTATTTCAAGTGGGAAATGGAAAAAAAAAAAAAAACAGTCCCATTTTTATTTTGATTAGTATCAGTCACAACAAACTCCAGACAAAAGAGGTCCTCCGGTGGGCTCTCCAACAAGGGAAAAATAATTAGTTTCTCATGAGAGCTAAATATAATGTGAAATAATACGCAGGCTCCCTTTCATAAAATAACAATGCTGCACCTTTCAAGTCCTCTCCTCTGTATCCTCAATTGATTCAGGCCGCTTCACTGTGTGTACTCAAAGTGCTAATCTCTAAAGAGACAGTGCAAAATAACACAAATAAGGATGAGTCTGTTTCAGTGAGGCTCAACAGTTGTGTATTTGAAAAAAAAAAAGACTGCTTTATTTTAGAGAAAAGCTTACCGAAAATACTGTAAACTTCTGCATATTTTTTCTCTCTTTATGTAAAAGCTGTAGTAAAAGTGAACAAATTGGCTTGTGTTTGATCTGTGATACTAGAGTTGCTTTTTCTGTGGTCACTGAGGCTGAAGACATAAAGGCAATTGGCCCTTAGCAGTTTATTTATCAAGAGTTTCATTGATGATGGAATCTGGTGATAATAATAAAAAAGGCAGTAGGCCTTATTAATTCTCCTTTTCTGTCCAGATAGAGTTTTTGTCTAGGTCAATTCATTTGTTGTTGTAGGATAACTCGGCATGATGGGAAGACAGGAGTCGACCGGGTTCCTGGCCCCTCTCAGTTTAAGCCTCATGGTGTTTCAGCTCAGCTCTTTTTGTTAGCAGATAGTCTGCATGCAGCAGCTCTGGCTCAGCTACAAGGACGAGTCTGAGTCTTAAAAATAAAGACCTGTTTCTTGCTTTAGACATGGCAGCTGCTCAAAATAACAAGGCACTTAATGAGAGATCCAGCACCACATTGCAGTCCCAAGCATCAGCTTATTTTTGCCCTCAAACATCTTCTGTATCTCTGGTTCTATTTATACCGTCAGACAGGGAATTTAGATCAACAACCATCCCCAGTGCACAGCAAGTGGATGTAACATACAACATACTTAAAGTGCAGGAACAAAGTGTGCTTTTCCACAACTGGAATTTTAATTGATAATGTGGAATATGTAAAGATTATCATCCGAGATCAGAATCAAATTATGTCAGATAATCTAAGCAGTAGTCCTTTAAATACACTTAAACTACAAACCAAGAAAAAAAAGCAGCAACAGGTCTTCTTGTGTTGATGGTGACTTCCACTTCAAGTAGTCGTGTTAGTTTGGGACATCACTGGTAGCTTTTCAGACAAACTGGAGGCATTGGGAAATTTTTAAAAAGCTTCCATTTTACCAAGTATAGATAACGTGACACAGTTTATACATTTATGTCAAGGTGACTAATTGCTGTAAAAGGTCAGAGATTTACAGATTTTATTCTGAGTTTACAAATAAAACTGAACCCAGGATTAGATGTTTTTTTTGAAATGTACCTTTTACAAAACTAGAACAGTATTTGCGTTGACATTGGCGTGGATCTATAAGAATTGTCATGATTTTCGAATTGTTTCTTGATTGATAAAAAACAGCTTTACCAAAACGCCTGAAAAAACATTCCTCTCATTAGTTATTAACTTTAACCAAGTGGCACTTGGGAGACTTCTTTTTTTTTTTTCTTCTTTTTTTGTGGTGTGTGTTGTTTCTCTTCTATGAGCTAATACCTGCTGCTGTGTTGCGCTCAACCAGCAGATCAACAGGTCACTGGTTAGTGAACATGAATGTAAAGTTAAAAAATATCTGCTAGAATCTGTTTGACTAAGGAAATAAATACGCTTGAAGTGTTTGTTTGATCCAGTGATAAATATTTGTTTTGTGCTAAAATCCAATGGGTCCCTTTTATAGCAAGTGAGACTGTTAGGGCTGATGGGTAAGTGTTGATATATTATAAAACTCCTATCTACACTAAAACAATGTGTTTGGTGTGTGAAAGCAGCAGTTGTTTTTTTCTTCTATGATATAATCTTATCGTGATCACCAGAAAAAGGTTGCAAACTTACTTGTTAAGGTGTGAAAACAGATGCAGCATTTATTCAGTGGGAAATGTTTACAATGATGAGAAGTTTCTCAGGATAGTTGTTAATTTATGAGCTGTCTGGATAAATAAGATTTTATTAGAATCTTCAAGTTGCTCTCTAAACGGGTAGTTTTAAGTTTAACTCAAGCTTTCACAGAGAGTCATGTTGATAGTATTTTCCTCTCTGGAGATGTATGTATTTCAGACTCCTCTCATGTTGTAGTAGTGTCACTGCTGATGTGTGTCTGCTCTCTCTCAGGGATGGGAAGCCTGCTAATGTGGCTTGAGGCAAAAAAAAAAAAAAAAGACAGCCATCCAACATCTCAAATTAAGGCTGTGATTGTCACTCCAACCGCCACCAAGGCTAATGAGAGGCAGATCGGTTATAGAAATAAACACTTTGGGGACACTGGCGGTGCGACGCAGCAGTGGGAGCATGGTCACAGGCCATGAGTCACCCTATCCCCCATTGGCAGGCCTTCCATGGGGAGGAATTTGGGCATGGGGCAGGGTGCTTGTCACTCCCTTGTGCTAAAAACAAATTTGGGACCTGTCATTCATAAATCTCTTGTTTACCAGCGCCTGGAGACACTTCTGTGAACTTTCCACCAATCAGGAGGCACCTCACGTTCACTCAGACAAAAGGGTTCGTATTATGGGTCATAACGGTACTATAGGACCAATGAACCAGAACCTCATTTTTCTGACAGCGATCATTTCAAGAGATGCAAAAGTTACATAAATGCAACCCCGCGCTTTTATTTTTGCCCGTGTTAAATTGAGCACGCGGCCTCACAACTGTGACAGTCTTTGACACATTGTCTATATTAAGACCCTGCTCAGAAAAGTATTTATATTTAGCTTTGGTTACTGGTGGTTCCTTATTCTCCTCTGCTTTAAGGTTATTCTTGTAAAATAGAAACAGAAGAATTTAGTTTTGAGCAGTTTGAGAGTCATTTGACATAAACAAATTAACTGTTTAATCCAATATATTCAGTGGTTGAGTGAAGTATTTAAACAAGGGCAGAAATCAGCACAGAGATTAATGTCATCCATGAGGAATATAGAAAGTAAGAGGCTTCAGAACAAACAATGCCTTCCTGCCTTTAGGACATTATTATCTTCCCTCAACATTGTCATCCCATCCCCAGTTATTCTTGCCGACACAGTGGACAAGAAAAGAACGGTCACATGAGGCTGTTGTGGTTTCCTCAGAGGCCATTTCATACAGTGTTGGTTATCAAAGTTGGCTTAAGCTTTCACACTCCTCCCTCTCCTCCCCCCCTTCCTATCCGTTTAAAGCACTGTCTGATATTTTCTGATGGAGGCTCAGCGTGATGTGCAGATCAAAGTGGAGATCTTTAATGCCAGTCACAGTGAGGGTACAGAATGAAATATGAGATTAATTAGATATCTCAGTGGTGAATTCTCCCAGGCAGCAGGTGTTTTTTTTCTTGCTATATTTAGGTCCATTAGGCAAAAAGTAGCACTAAGACTGTCTGACTCTGTGAGCCCTTCAATGGTTCACAGGTTCACGGCTGGCCTGGGAACAGCGCCTGCTACCTCGGAGTCCTTTGTCAAAGAGTTACAAGCGAAGATTAATATTCCCTGTCAGGAGAGAAGGCTCTGTTCTACAGGTGCCTGTTCCCTGTGCCTGCCGAGCCGCTGCCCTCCTCTGTCATTTGATGGAGCTGTTTTTAGATCACAGAGAGAGAAAAATTACAGCACGGGAGTCCCCTCTTACTGTCTTCTCCCTTTGAACATTTTTTAGGACGAGTTATCTTCTATCAGTTGAAAATCCACAGTGTGTGTGTATGTGTGAGTTTTTGTATTGGAGGTTTTCTTTTTTTTCATAATGCTTTCTCTCTCTGCCTCTCTCTGCTGGGGACTCCTGCCTTATATAAGAGCTGTGAGGCTGATATAATAGTCAACATGTCACATTGCCACTGTAGGCAGGAGACAACATGCAGTGAGACTCGATATCTGCAGGATGGGGAGACATAATTACGTCGCCAGCGTTGCCATGGCAGCGGCAAGTTAGGGTGGTGGATACTAGGGTGTGGGGGTTGTCACAGACCAGGATTGCGCCACTTGCTTTTATGTTTCTATTTATAATCACCACCGCCGCATACACATGGATGGTGGCAATGAAAAACAGGCTTCATGACAAAACAAATGGGCGCCAGAGAGCTTCACAGCTTCAGCCAACGGGAGGGCACTGCTGCCTAATTGATGACTACTGTATACTGACAGTGCAGGTTTAAGCTCCTTTTTATTGGCATTTTATTGTAGTTTAAGAGGATAAATACATGACAGGACCAACAGAAGACTGTTTATGTTGGCATATAAAAGTAATGTGTTAGCTCCCTCTTATGCGTCTAGAGAGCAGGTGGTGTAGTAACACTGCTTGTGTTTGTTCCCTCAAATGTGACCCTTGAGAAGATTACAGCAATGAATGCACCCAATAAATCTCCCTCCAGCCACTGGAATTTTAAGTAGCTTTGAATATTTCTCTGGTCTCAAAATGGAAGAGACATAATACAGTCTGGGCGATGTGTACCCTTCCTTGAATGTCACATTCTGATCAGTGTTAATAACAAATCATTTTTCCAAGAATTTCATTTAATCACAGATCAAATATAAGCCTTAATACCTAATTAAATATCTAAAATTAGTTCTTTCCAAAAAAGAGAAAAAAGACTGACTGAAGCAAGGATTGTACAAGAGACAGAAATGTAACAAAGATAATGAAAAATATCTAGCAGTCACTAATCATCCTCTGTGGAATAGAAAGATGAAGTAGTGCTTTCTCCCATGTTCTGAACTGGCAATCGATTTTCTCTGTGGAACAACCTATATATAGAGCTGGGAGACCAAAGGGATGCCCTCTCACTTTGTATCTGACAATTACTTATAATGGAGGGAGAAGTCAAAGACAGCTCTTACCGATGCGTACATCGCAGCATCTGCACTCAGGAACAGAGATGGAAAGATCACAGAAACGTACTCTCGAAAAGCATACAGGTTTGCAGACTCACACTCTATTTTGCTTGAAACCTTTAGTATAAAAAGAGATACCTGCATAATTTCCTGGTAGGGACAAGTAGAGGAAAATCTTTTATAAACATATAAAGCAGTAGAAAGATGGGATTTTTATGAAGACTTCAAATGGCCACTTCAACATTTCGTGCCAAATGTCCATTGGTTTGTTGGACAGCTCTCCCAGTAGACTCTGACTGACGGATGTGATCCTGTGTTTGTTTATAGAAACTGTTATAATTGTAGGTTTCAGAGGATCACATGAGAATACGCTGTTCTCCTCACTTTTCCTTTTTTTCTCTTCCCTCGTTCCTTTTTTTTATAACCTTTTAAACTCTGTGCTTCACTTACAGAATCTCAATCTTTTACTTTCCTCAAACTCTGAACAACATGTTTTGTTCTGCAGTATAATGCAGATGTACCATGACAAACAGTTACTGCTAGTTTCATGGTTCAAGCTGTAGGGTTGTAAATGAGGGACTGACAAATATCTCTTTTGCTCTTTCCTTCTCTTTTTATCACAGTGGAAATTAAGCCGGACGTGCCATTGACTGTGGAGCCTGTGTCTCCATTGGACCTGCGCACAGATCTGAGGATGCTAGGGCCAGGCTCGGACCCAGGGCTGTGGGAGAGGCAGCTGCAGCAGGAACTGCTCCTTATTCAGAAGCAGCAGCAGATCCAGAAGCAGCTACTAATCAGCGAGTTCCAGAAGCAGCATGAGAAGCTGACCCGTCAGCACCAGGCCCAGCTCCAGGAGCACCTCAAGGTCATTATTGCACTGAGCATTTGTTTGGAGGACAGTGCAGCAGTGTACCCAGTGGCCCGACACAGCACCACAGTACAGCTTGGCGTAGTGCAGATCAGTAGAAAACATTGTTGTATAACAGAGAGCAGAGAAGAAGAGACAACTCAGCAAAGCTAAGCAGAGTGTTGAGTAGTACATTATAGAACAGTATGAGGTTCCTTGTTACAGATGTGTGCAAAATAATCTGTAACAGCAAAATAGACGCTGTGAAAGTTCACATAAGCCACTGCTGCTTTAAGATTCTGTTTAGCAATGCGCTCTCTCCATGTTGACTTCGGGCCTTTGTGTTTCTCAGCTCCAGCAGGAGCTTCAGGCCATGAAACAGCAGCAGGAACTCGCGGAGAAGGAGCGCCGTTTGGAGCAGCAGCAGCAGCAGCAGAACCAGCAGGAGAAAGAGCAGGAGAGGCATCGGCGAGAGCAGCATGTTTCCAGCCTGATCCTCCGGGGCAAGGAGCGCTCCCGTGAGAGTAAGATTTCGACACCGCCATCATAGCTATCTTCTCAGCATCAAGAGCAGAATTTGTGTACTAAGGGCCCTAGGCGAGAGCAAGCATGGGTGCCACAAACTTTAACCCATGCTCTGCAATTATTGATTTTATGCATTACCATATACAGGGGTTCAAAATGTCTATATTTTTTGTTATATCCAGTCATGAGCCTGTTCTGTCACTACTTTTTTATGACTGAAATAACAGCCCTCTAGCTGTGTGTTAGGATGGCAGAAGAAGCCCTTTTAAGAGCAACCTTGATTGACATTGAGGCACTACCTAACCTTATTTTTTAAAAGGTTGTATTGAAATGCTGCATTAGGATCTCCTTGACTCCTATGGGAACTCCTTTTTAGGCAGCTGTAACATCAATAGATACTCACAATTACAATACATTTAACATCCACAACATATTTAAAACTTAGCTTAACATCAAAATCTAAACTTTGAGACCAACTCTCGTTACTTTATGACTAGTAGCACTTTGAGTCATATGTTAGCCTGCTCTATGGCTGTAAAATTGAAAGTAATGTGTCCCTCATTGTTCATTTGGTGTCATGTGCTGGTCTACTGGGGACACAGTTTCTAAATGTTAGATATCACTAGTGACACATGACTCCAGATGAGAAATTACTCCAGCCACTAGAGCAAAGTATCCAACAGTTTTCACTTACTATGATGACAATGTATTTTTCATTTCATGCAACTGCTGAGAGAAGATTTGTCGGTGACATTAAGCTCAGAATTAAGAAAGAACTGTCTTAAAGTAGCGTGATCAAAATAGCTTCAGATATAGTGTTCCCTTTCTGTTTTTACCTTATGGCTAATAATAGAAAAGATTTATGAGTCTGTCAAGTCTGGTAATTTGAACTTTTGCTCTGCAACTGTGACCCTCCAAAGGGGAAGAACACCTCTCTGCAGTATCTGTGAAGCAGCTTGAAACTAATATGGTTCTCTCAGACCACTAGGGGGAGATGTGCCTGCATGAGTTGTTGCTGCAATGAAAGCTAGTGTTCTTAACCTGAGAGATCTGAAAGAAGGTTGCAAATTACAAAAGAGGTTACAAAATGATTTGTTAAATTACACTTACCCCCTAGGGTAACCCCAATCCCTTTGTTTCGGTCTTTTGGCCTCACAGGTGCGGTGGCTAGTACCGAGGTGAAGCAGAAACTCCAAGAGTTTCTGTTAAGCAAATCAGCGAAGGACCCTGCCAGCAACGGAGCTAATCATTCTTTCCTCCATCACCCCAAACTCTGGTACACGTGAGTATTTCCTGTTTTTCTTCCTCCTGAGAGAGCATGATACTATTATAGATGGTGTATTTATATCTAGAAGAAATTTAATCTCAATCCTCATATTACTCCTTCTTGTATCTCATTTATTTTAACGTGATCAGGTCCTCTCACCACACATCACTGGACCAAAGCTCTCCACCTCTGGGCGGCACATCCCCCACCTGCCACTACACTCTACCATCACCCATAGAGAGCAAGGACGACTTCCCCTTGAGAAAGACAGGTTTGCTAATTTGCCCACACACACACACACACACACACACACACACACACACACACACACACACACACACACACACACACACACACACACACACACACACACACACACAGAGCACAGCCGTAAAAATGCCCACACACACCCTGTTTAAATTTCATACATAAACAAAGTACATCCACAGCTCTAATCTAATGTTGCCTCATATTATAAGTTTGTTTTTAAAATTCTATTATGTTGGTTATAAATACAGAGAATGTTTTTTTGACCCTTGTCAATCAAGAGGTCAGTTACCCATCAAGTATTTCCTGAGGTTGCTGATGACCTGCTAATAACACCAGTTAGACTCATTGTAACTCCACCCATCCCTCCAGGGCTCGACACAAAACTTTTACAAGCAGGCCAGAAAAGTACCTCAAAGTTTCATGACTCTTTTTTTTTTTATTTTACTGAAACGCAGCAGCTGAACAGGCAACAACATAGTTTTCATAAAATGGATACTTTTAATAAGGTTATTTGAGCTGGATTTGAATTTCCTTAATTCAAAAATGTCATAAGAATAAGCCAAACTCCAAGGCCACTTTGAACTGTTTAGTGGTAAATGGAAGAATTAAAGCGGATTAATTTTCTCCTGAATTATTGGCTACAAAAACTGTTTTGAAAAGACACAGGTTCCCACCAAAAAGCAGCTCAGGTTTGTTGGTTTAAAGCTTGGGGATCCCTTTGGGAATAGCTGTGTAAATAAGAATAATTTCTACCCACTGCTTTGCACAAGCACAAGTGCTCACTAGGCTTAAAACTTCATAATTCGGCAATGAGGTCACCAAATTACATTATCCTCCTTTCCCCTCCGTGTCTCTTTTAATTACATTCGAAAGCAATTATGCTCGTTGAGTCTTTAACTGCAGGCCTGTCATTTTGCATGTATACACAATTTACAGATCAAGCAGAGGAATGTTTTCTTGTAAAATAAAGTTACTGTGTGACGAGGATAAATATTGGAAAGGTAAATGAAAGCTCTGTGAGCTTCTATTTATTGTCATCTCTCTGAATTGAACTGTCTGAGCAGAGCAGAGAATAACCTCTTGTATAGGTATATTTACATCCTTGAGTCATGCCTGTAGACTCATTAGATAAAGAGGTACCTCACAAGTGTAATTTCCAGTTGTAAGCAGTCTTCTTAAACAACAGAGAGGCTAGAATTGTTTGTCTTTTTCTGAAAAAACAAAAGGCAGCCTTAAAAAAACACTGCAATGAAAAAAAAAATCTGTCTGTGCTGCTCAAACATTTTCATTCAACATGTAATTCAGGGTGAAATCATCGTCCCATCTCTGTGCCTGGTTGTCTAACATAGATGAAACTATTCCTGATCTTTGGATTCCTGAATCTATATGTGGTCATTTCCTGCTCAGGTCTTCCTCCCCCACTTCCTGTCTGTCTTCATTAAAGTCTTCTGAGAGCTTTGCGCTCAAAGGGGAACACACAAAGGTAGTGTTGTTCCCCAAGCCACTGGCTGTCACTGCTCGGTGATTGGCAGGTGTCGCAGAGTCAAGGTGGGCTCATGCTGGATGAACCTTGACAAGACTGTTTGTTTAAGCAAAGATAGCTCTCTCCAAACAAAGCCGAGATGACTCGAATGCTCTGGGTAAGACTCCCCACCGCTTCATCTGGCCAGAGGGTGGAGAGAAATCTCTCTCCGGTTGAGGTTTTGGTTCAAGATAGGGTGAATAGTTCTGGGTCAACAAGAAATCTTCAAAACTTGTGAATAGTGGATGATGCATTTTTTATTCTGACTTAAAAGCTTTTCAAGTGGAAGTTTTAGTGGAAATTATGCAACAAAAGTTTAGTTGTTATTCACAAATTATGAACACTAATTTTACCCCCCAAAATTCTGCGGTCCTGTATATGTTTCATAAAGCATGAGATCTATTTCTTGTTCTCTGCCACAGTTGCAAACAGTTATATCACCCTTCACTCAAAAATAGCTGTAACGTCCTTGGCTTTATTTTACTGAGTGGTTAAAAGAATTTCACGTGATTAACTTGTTTACCTGGTACACATCCTCTTTGTTTCACTTCCAGGGACGAGAATAGAGTGGACCGAGAGCACGCGATAGTCTGTGGCAAGAATAGTCACAGCTTAGCAGTAAGAAGTGCAACAGCCTCTCTGGTCTTGACCCAGTTACCGAATGGGTGCATTCAGCAGGTGCAGGAAAGATTTTCAAAATTAATCTTAAAAGGATAAAACTAGAGCCTGAGCTTGTAAAGTTTACGTGTCAAATCCTTAACTTGAAGATGTTGTCTGTTCTCACATGTAAAAAATATGAACAAAAGGATTAAACTGGCTGGTTTGGTAAGACTTCATATATAAACTCTGAGGAACTAAAGCAGGTTGAAAAAAGTATAAGTTCAAAGAAAAGAAACTGGTGAGTATTTAAACATCTATTTTACCTCCAGCTTGAATAGGAGTATCAGGAAAATGCAAAGCAGGCCTCCTTGTGTATAGAACAAACCTTTGCACACAGTCATCTGTTCAGGTCCAAGTGTTAATGGGCACAGGCACCCACAGGAGATAGCACAACAGTTCCAGTATCAAATGTAATGGGGGGAGTTGATTAATGTTTATTACCGAACCCATTACTGTATGTTTTCTATAACTGACTGAGGTGTTCAGTGTATACATTTGCCTCTGCCATCATTGCCTCCTGTTGCACAGTGCACCGCAGCATTTTTTCTTTCCATGGAGACCGGCAAGAAAGTGTTTGTTCCCGTGCTGCTGTCTGGCGTTCCCGTGGCGACCAATTGGGATGCGTAGCTTGGTGGCAGCAGTGTGTAAAAATAGAAAGCAATCAAGGCAGCAGGGCGTGAAGCAGATTCATACGACTCCCAACAGCGTTTTCTCTCCATTTATCTCTCCTGCCTCCTTTCTTCCTCCCTCGCTCTCTTTCATTCTACCTCACACCCACAGGATTAGAGGTCTGTGCCACGTATTAGGGAAAAAAGGGTTTTGCTGCTTTTGACAAAAGCCAGAAATAGCAGCATCTGGCCCACTCTCCTTGCTGTGCCCCCTTCAGCGTTCCCCTTCCTCCTCCTCCTCCTCCTCCTCCCCCTGCAGTACTCCTACGTCATAGCCCCACTCTATCATGTATAGCTGTATGTTGTAAACACTGCAAAAAGACCAATTTAATTATTGATCGTCACTAAATAATTGAAGCAGGTTGGCTATTGTGTAACAGTTTACATAACTTCAATGCAGCTTTGCGCTCTGGCTTCTAGTCAAAAGACCTGCTTATCTATTTTGCTTGTTTACTTAAGTGTGTATTGCTGTGCGAATCTATGTCTGAAGGGTTCATGGGAAAACTACATTAGACCTCTTGACCCACTTAGTCACCATCAGTGCAGCAGGAGGGCAGCATGACGAGACAAAATCATTTATCTGTTTTTAAGTAGTAATCTCTTAGTCTAATTTCCTATTTTGTTTTTGGACCACAATCACATTTTTAGACTAGTTTACCAGTTGTGACATCCATCTGTTATATCAGAAGTTGGCGGCACTGCTCTTGTAATTACCGTCAAAGACTCAAAGGTCATGTCCTCAATTTTTTTTTCAATGTCGTGTCTTTCATTCTGAAGGGATCACTCATTAGGCAAGACTCATTAATCTGGAATCTTTAATTCTTAATTCTTAACCCTAATCCGTAGGTTTTATGAAGGATTCTCAGCCTGAAATACATTTTTAGTTTTGACATTTTCTAACCATGTCAAAGGAAAATAAAGAACATAATAAAACTTTGGCTTGCACATCACATTAACTCTGCCAAGTCTCTTGAACTCAGTATTTCTTAGGTCATGCTTATGCCGGGTCACACTGAGCACTGCAAAAATGTTAAGGCAAAATGAGACGGTTTCAACCTCATTTGCTTCAACCTTTAAAGTCAACACCTTCAAACTTGGCTTTGTTTCGGTACCTCAGGGATGGCTATAATCAGCTGTGTGTAACAGAGTTAGTGTGGATTAGGGTGTTCCTGGAAAAGAGCAGCCGTGCTCAGTAAATCTACCTGAGCGAGATAAAGGTTTAAAAATGATTAAATAATCTACCGGGAAACAAAATGCCAATTGTTACTAATACTCCTAAATCCATAAATACAACCAGTTGAAAGGTTTAGAGGCAATATGTCTATTGTGAAAATCTTAGTTCCTTCAACTCTGATGTGTTGGGTTTCTCTGTCTGGATCAGTTCAGGGCCAAGCTGTGTGTGTAAGTGTATGTGTGACCGTGGCGTGTGTCCAGTGTATGTATCAGGGTATCTCTGTTTTGCATTAGGAGTAGGGGGCGTAGGGAGAGCCAGAAACATCTGCCATGTTTTTGTGTTAGTTTAACTGTTGCTACTGTATCAGACTGTGGTCACCAGGGCGGCAGGTAGCGGACTATTTCACTTAGAGCCTGTGTGTTGCTCAACCTAATTTAAGCCAGATGAGGTGGAAATGGGCCCAATCCTTAGTCATTTCGTTTATCTGGACGCTGCTCTGAATTTCACTGAAAATGAAATTGTTGCATGGTGTGGCAATGTTGTTATTTTTTCACTGATTATAGTTTCTTTATTACTCTTCTTATTTTCCTCTTATTTTATGATATTCATATTCTCCATGGTTTGTTCATTACATTTTGCCGCATTAAAGCACACTGTTTATCTCTATAACAACAGTAAAATACACTCACATGATCCTGGAGCCAGACTCCTTTTGATATGGCTTCTTTGTGGCCCAAATACTGTCGCTCCAGATTAACAGAACGCAATCTTCTGTCTCTTTTTTTTTTTTTTAGCTTCTGAGCCAAACCTGAAGGTACGATCCAGGCTGAAGCAGAAAGTAGCAGAGCGGAGAAGCAGCCCAATGCTAAAGAGAAGAGATGGAAACATAATGACTCCGTACAAGAAGAGGGCTCTAGAGCTAATGGGTATGCATCATTACTTTATATTGTATTTCTTGTGTTTTTGTAGTTTGAACATGTGCAGTAAATTCTTGACATCTTTGTATCTGGTGTTCCAGATGTTCTCGAAAAACAGAGGCCCATACCTTTTTGTGTCATTAATTCAGAGCTGCATGATTATCAGCCATTTTGCAATATAGTAGCATATTATGGTTATTGGACTTTCATGTGAGAACGTCCATTGTAATCACACGGCCGTGACCGTACACATTAAAGTGTTGTGAGGCTGCAGCTGTTTGCCTTGCCTCTGTGCGTGTGTGTGTGTGTGTTGTGTGTTGAGCGTGAGCATGCATACTGCGTCTTAACTCCTTGATGTTTTTCCTAGACTCGACGCCCACAAACAGTGCCCCTGGCTCTGGCCCCAGCTCTCCCATAGGGGCCTCCAGTGCCTTGGGGGCTGAAAATGGACCCTCCTCTCTTCCTACTACCACAAAAACTGAGGTATGTTTATAAATAATCAGCACTGCTATTGATTTGCCCAAAAAGGGAAAGGAAAGTCTGACTGCAGTTGTTATTTCTCATATAATTTGTGTAGGTATTTCGAGTATACTTTCATGTTAAGGCACTTAATGCCTGTCTGTCCTCCTGCTCACAGCTATAAAAACAGCCAGTTGTCTTCCGTCTGTTTCGCTCAAGTGGAAATGACTCCCAAACTGACATTAAAGAGGCACAGCTTGACCCACATCTCTGATTACCACAAGTTTATCCATGTAAAGACACATTAGGCAGGAAAATAAATAGACTTGCACCACTGTAGCTCACTTTGTAGCATACAAAAGATGCATGCTGAGTCCTTGTAGCAGTAGCCCAAGTTTGATTCCACGCCAAGGCTCTTTGTTGCATGTCTCCCTCTCATGCTTGCAGTTTTCCATCAACTTTAGAAATATTAAAAAAAGAGACAAAATGGTTAAAGAAAATCTTTAAAAAAGTGAGCGAAAAGAGCGTTAAATTATAAACACAAAGATAACAAATTGAGAGTCAAAGTTAAAGTGCTCAGATTTTCTGTCAGACATTTTCTTCCAGATGTGTCGTACAACTAGTTTTATCCCCCCCTCCTCCAAAAAAACATCTTTAGTTTGGCTGAAAGGTTGCTGTTGGCTTGTCATTGTATTTCTGTCGTTGGCTTGGCGGCATGCCTGTTCTGAAATGTTCTGAGGCGTTTCCAAATGGATTCATGGCTGAGTTACTGACCTGAGCTCCCCTTGGACCCAGCACACAAAGCAGACCATTATGGAGGGTGGCAGATATGACACATCTCTGAACAATCCTCACAGAACAGCTGTGTTTTCCTTCACTGTGGCTGTTTACTCTCCCTGGGACCTCCAGTGACACAGAGAGGGGAGAGAAACCCTGACAGTGGGCTGAAAGTTTGGGGCTCAGTTTAATTGATATCCCAGGCGTTGGTAGCCAAAGACATCCACATGCTAACAACATAAACACACAGGATTGCTATTGTATTGAGGCAAGCTGAGGCTCTCATAATAGTCATCAGTGGACTGCAGGCTGCCTGTAGACCTCATGCCTGTTGCAAAAGCAAGGCATGTTTGTGTACCGTTACATTAGGTATCCTTTTTCAGAGGGAACGGGTCCCTCGGGTCAAATATGGGCCGGATATCCACATACAGGTCACTGAGTACTGGTAGGGGTTGGAAGGATAAACATGGCTGTTCCAAAACCACATGCTGGTCCGCTGCTCTGCTGGGTATAGGAAGTATGCCCCAGTGCTGATGTTCTCTGAGAGAGTGGCCCGAGGGTGGGGACCGGGGTGGAAGAACAGGCAGCGGGCCGGTTAGTGTCTGAAGAACTAAGGGTGGAGTGAAAGATTTATATGTCTGAAATGTTTTATAATAGCATATCCTCCTCACTGGTGCCATTCTGTAAACCTCCAGGAAACTTTTGCTGCATCACGCCTTTCATAACGTCGAACATAAAAACTCCTACCTTTCTGTTTGCGGGGAGGAGGGCTGTTATGGTGCACTGACGTTTATGCCACTGTTCCTGTTGCCTTTTCAAATTGTCCACTGTGGGGATTCTAAATCTGTCACTTCCTCCTAAATCTCTCTGTCTTTGCTGTGTCCTGTGTTTTTGATGTAGAGATGGCCTTCACAGCCGAGATTATTCCGACCCGAGGGCTCCGTATCCATGCTTAGCTTATACACGTCTCCATCTTTACCTAACATCTCCTTGGGGCTTTCAACTGCATCCTCACCCATTAGTGTAAGTACATTTTCTCTCCCAATTTTCAAGATGTTTTTTTAATAAAATCTGTTTGTTAGCTCAAATGTTATTTTGGTTGATTCAGCAGTCAGTCCAGTGGTTTAGCATTAGCAAGTTTCCTCACTGATTTAAGAGTAAAAACCTGCTATCAGTGGTTGTCTAGGATCTCTGCAGGACCACAGGTCACTGACCTGCGGCCTCAAATGGTTTTATCACTCTTAGATAAATATTGTTCTGCAGTGTCTTGTGTCAGGCAAGTTCTTATCTTTCTCTATTACCTCATTTATCACAACTTTTAAAAAAGGCCAAGTCCACTCAAGTGCAACTTCTGATAACAGGACATGATAGATTAGGTTTCAGCTCTCTGGCGCATTCCTCCAAGACCTGTTCATCAGCTGCACCAACTTCAGACCACTGATTTCTGAATTCCAAACCCCATTGCATTAAGCAGAGGATCTTTTAATTTAAATGCCGTTGTATTTTCTCCTAACAAATTATCACCAACTTTAGTGCAATCAGGCACCATGTGACTTAAAGAGTAAATGTTCATGTTCATCATCTTTTCCTCTGCTTTTCAGGCTGCCATTGGGTTGAAGGACAGATCCACAGAAATCAAACATGGGCTGCCTGGGCACCTGCTGGGCCCCGTGCCCCTTCAGACAGGCCTTGAGTCCAAAGTGAGTCCCAGTCACCAGGCACTCCTCCAACACCTCCTCCAGAAAGAGCAGATGAGGCAGCAGAAGATCCTCTCCTCAGGTAAGACCTCTCTATAAGGTGTTTAATGACTAAAGTTGTCAAAAACATGGCACAGGAGACTAAAAGCTGGCTCTGCAATTCTTTCTTTTCTTTTTTCTTAAGGCCAAAGCTCCATGTCCTCCCACCCTCAGTCCCCGCTGGCTATGAAAGATCGCCCCTCAAGCAGTCGCCCTAAACTACCAAAACACCGGCCCTTGAACAGGACACAGTCCGCCCCACTGCCTCAGAACACACTGGCCCAACTCGTCATCCAGCAGCAACACCAGCACTTCTTAGAGAAACAGAAACAGTACCAGCAGCAGGTCCATATAAATAAGGTATTGTGTTTTTTAGTAATACTCAAATCACAGGAGAGGAATTTGACTTTTAGATTCTGTTTCCCGACCTCCTCTATTCCTCTTAGGTCTTGTGAGGACTTATTTTACTGCAGGGAGTCTGATTTAATCATTTTAAGCACACAAATGCTGGTCTATTTTTAGCCTTTTTAAGAGCATCTGCAGTAGCTCAGGTTTAAAGACCCGAGCTATTGTCTGTTCTTCCCAGGAATCCTGATGTTATTTCTGCAGAGCAAAGGACTTCTGCCTGACTTCAAATAGGGAAGAAATGCTTCCCCTGCACTAATTCTGTTATCATAGCTTAAGGCATCTGCTCACATGCAAACTCTGTGGAATTCAATTCAGCCAGGTTTAAATGAAGGAAAAAGAGCCGAGAATACATTTTGTTCCTCTGTGGCAATATTTATGTTTCTGTTAGTTGGCCGAGGTGACCTCTCCATACACAGAGTGTAATTATTTTGCTGAGGGACGTGTGTGAGGTGGCAGACACTGTGAAAGGCAGCATTGTGTGAGCTCACATACTGATGTGTCCCAACGCTGGGCTCTGACAGAGCCATGGGAACCATCGAGCAGCTCATACCTAGAAGTAATAAAAAGCACAAAGCACCACTAGCACTTATTGGGTCGTACAGTGTGGATATCCAGCTGTAACCAAAAGTTTAGTGCTAATTCCTCTGTTACGTTAAAAACGACTCAAAAGAATCACTGCAAGGCAGCTAAGATTAGTTTTGGTATCAGATTTAATTACTGAAAAGGACTCTATGGAGCTGATATGATTGACTTGATTTGAAAAGAGCTCTGAAATAATTGCAACATCTTGTCCAGAAACATGTGAACAGGCCGAACTCTAATCACTGGGGCCAATGAGATGGCGAGTAAAGCCTCTTTAAGTGGAGGTTATAAATGGCCTCTAATCGGGGATGAGCCCTCAGTGTTTATTGAGAGGGATCTCCGAAACATTGCCCTAATTAATTTCCTAGCAGAGGCTTGTCTGCGGTTGTTTTTAAATGTCCTTCAGTGCCTGTGACAGCAGGGGGAGCTCATGGAAATTTACAAGAGCTTAGGGAATTTAGGATCAGGTATGAACAGAGTTTACTAATACCAAGCTAAGGAGGCTAACTCTAACAGTCGGAGGGATATTTATATAAGACCTAAATTCTGTAGACCTTGATGTGGTTGGTTACGTGTTTGGACCCAAGCTGGCCAGTCCGACTCACGTTGCCCTCTTGTGGCAGAGTGATTAAATCCTGGCACCACTGCGGTCCATTTGATGTAGAAAGCTGCACAACTGAGTTTTTGTGTCAGGCTGAAATTTTAATTCACCTGGTGCTGTTTCTATAAGGAAAATAAATCTGATTTGCACTATTCTTTAAACTTAAAAAAATATATATATAAATATTTTTTTTTTGGACTGACTCTAATCTACTTTATTTAATTTTGTCAACTCATGTAAAAGGGAGGAACAATGGCTAATCTGCCACTAATCCTAAACCCTCTAAAACTCTAGTTTTGCAAAGCCTTTGGGTGGAAACTCAGTAAGTTTATTATTCCCCTTTGTCACGTTTCTAAGGTTTATGCCATGGTTGGTAGCAGATTTTAGTACAATAATAGCATTTAGTGTGCTTACTCAAGAAAACTCAACCCAAAAGCCATTTAAGTCTGTTTAGAAGCAAACTGTATTTTATGAAAAGGAAAATCCAGACTAGAATTGTCAATATAAACATGATTGGTAACTGTATGTTTTGTGCTTTGACACTTTGGTCCATCAGTAGTTGAGTGAATATGGGTTAACTAGATGTAATGTTGTTGATTTTGGTTATTGATATAGTTACAGATGCTGTCAAAGCTTAGCTAGACTTTTTGTTCCTAAAACATCATGCGAATCCTTCTTGTTTGATGAATTACTAATCTCTTTGTTTATGTTTCAGAAAACTTGTTCTTGGTTTTCCCTTTGCTTCATTTTGATATAACTTGATTGTTCTAGACCATTAACTCTGGGTTATCATCATTAATGTGGATCCTTTGCCTTTTACAGCTGTTGTCCAAGTCCATTGAGCAGTTACGTCAGCCCAATGCACACCTGCAGGAGTCAGAGGAGGAGCAGGAGGAGCAGCAGTATGACAAAGAGCACACAGAGAGCATGCAGGAGGACAGACTGCCCCCTGGAGGAGTCATCCGGAAGCACACGCTGAGCAGCAGCAGCAGCAGCTCCAGCGCAGAGCTGCCAGACGCTCACTGCGGGGTCATTAAGGTCAAGGAGGAGCCAGTTGATAGCGAGGATGAGGCCCTGACCAACCAAAGCTTAGTGTCAGAGCAGAGCACCTATCTGCACCAGGTCAAAGGAAGACTAGTGATAAGAGCCATGATATGAAAGAGGAGGATGAGATCACACACTGCCAACATTCACAAATGAACAGGTCTATATAAACATCTGCGTCCCTGCAGTTTACACACAGGCACACACAGACACACACACACAGTAGGCCAGCTCTCTGTGTCACAAGCCGTTTTTACTATGACTCTCTGTTTGTGATGTTTGTGTGGTGATCTCTGTAAAATATGTACGTTTCACTCTGTGTATATACTATGAAGACAATTTAGACCGTTCGTTAGAGCTGCTTTGGTCGTCTCTGGGCTGCTCAACTGACAGAAAGTCCTTTGTACATAAACTGTCCATGAAGCATCGAAAAAGATTTTTAGAGGGGTTGGTTTAAACAGGTGTACAGCTTTGAAGAGCCAAATTAATTTCCTATCGTGTACATTTTTGCCATAAAATGTTCAAATGCTCTTCTCCCACTTTAGGAGTCACCACAAAGTCCTCACAGTGCGTTAAAGCATTGAAAACACTAAATACACCATGTAAAATGGTGTCAAAGCTGGAATAATCAACATCCATCCTAGTGAGAATGAAGATTGATTCAGCCCTGACAGAGGACGCTGCCTTAGGGCAGGCTTTTTTTGCACCAGGAGTGATATTGCCATTGGAGCATGGTCTGCTGCTCATGTTGCGATTTGAAAGATAAAGCACTAAACCCCATCCTCAGTGTGCAGGCTTCTCCCAACACACCCCAAGCCTCACAGTTTCTCTCTCCCCCTCTCTCTTGAAGCAGTCCCAGAGCCAGGGCCCCGTATTAAGCTGAGCTCTCCTCCCTCTCTCCCTCCGGGTCCAAATCAAAGCTCGGTGGGTTCCTGCCCGGCTTTCAGCAGAGGAGTCAGACGGAGAGAAAGAGAGAGAGGGCCGGGCAGGAAATGCCTTCAAGAAGCCAGGACTCGGAGTGATTCATGTGTGCAGGAATGTTGAGAGAGGAGGACCTAGGGTTGGAGGAGTCCAAGGGGCCAGGCTTGAGAATTGATTTACTGTCAAGGCGAATTACAAAGTGAGTGGGGATATAGTTAAGGGAGTCCCTTTTAAAGGGAATCGCTTCCTTCGTTTTCCCTAGTGGCGTGCTTACCTCAACAGGCAGGTTTGATGTTACTTCAATAAAAAACCCTGGATGGGACCTCGCTCCTTCGTTCTTTTTTCAAGCCTGTTTTCCCTTGAAAGTGCCCATTGCGACATGTATAGTCTGTCTTAAAGTGATCAATCAAATGTATTGCATAGCCGTAAACCTTCCTGTTTTATTTGTACCATCGACTAAATGTATAAAAAAAAAAAATCTAGTATCAGGTTCTGTGTTTGGATTCATGTGAAAATCAAAACAGTCTGTCTTATAATGTACATTCGGATTGTCCGGCTTCAATGTTTCTAGTGTAAGTAAACACAATCAGAACAATGTGAGTCTTGTTGTCTTGCTCCTTTGATTCGGTTGTAATGAGAACCCCTTTGCTGGTAGTGAGGGGACAGAGGGGGGTACGGGGTCCTGTGGTCTGTTCATAGCAGTTTGCATTTCTTCTCTTTTTTGCCTTGTGTGAAAACTTTTTCTTTTTTTTAAATAAAGTTCATTTACCTCTGATATTTTGGCATTTTGCTGATTATTTACTCTCACGTCCCTCTTATTAAGAGACTACATGTGCTGGAAAGAAGCTCAAAAATACTATTTCATAAATACTTTCAGAAACTTCAGATTAATCTTTCAGTTCACAGAAAACATCCCTGATTTGGACATGATGATTTTAAATGGACTGCCTAAAACACTGGCCAGCTTGCATTTCCCACAGTCCGTCTTTATTTTCAAGGGATCTTTGTAACCCTTTAAAGGGAGCTTAAGAGGCTTTCAAAACATTTCTTTGATGTGGGTGAGAGAGGCTTCTTGAACAGTCAAGATAAGGTAAGCTGGGAAAGAGTGATATATTACTCGTGCATGTCCTTTCAAACCAAGCTTATGTAATTTCACAGAAAGCTTAGTCTATGGGAATGGTCTGATATGTTATACACGAAATGATGAGACTGGAAAATTTCACTCATAGTCTGACTTTGCTACAGGCGAAACAGCTTTCTAAGAATGCTTTCAGAACAACAAAAGTTACACTTTCCTTGTCTTTGCATATTGTTTATATTTGTTCAAGTGAGATAAACTCTTCTGAAACTTTCATAAGGTCTGATAAATTACTTTAAAACAGGTGTAGAGTTGCGAACATTAGAAAGTATTTGACTTAAATTAGACTCTCTTTCTTAAGTAGATTCCATCTGTTTAAAGCTTCAGGCTCTTGTGATTTTAAATGAGCCCTTACAAAGGCTGAAAGAATAACAAAACTAAACTCCATCTGTGTTGCCCCTCCCTGCCTGCCCACAGAGCCAGTTGTAAAAGCAAACAAGCATTTTTAAAGGTGCAAGGAAGTAAGGACGACATAAACCCACATATTACATCTGGATGGATCAGACTCTAATAAAGCCTGACTCTTTAGCACCTTTGGTGCTGTTTAAACAAGGCATTCAGATCCAGTGGCTGTATAATATGGATGATAATGATAATAATGCATCAGATTTTATAGCGCTTTATCAGAGACCCTCAAAGTGCTTTACATTGGATACATCAGTCATTGGCTCACACAGTCACACTCTGGTGGTGGTAAACTACCTTAGTAGTCACAGCTGCCCTGGGGGACGGACAGCTGATGGAAATGTGGCTTCCAGTTTGCACCTATGGTCTCCCCGACCAATACCACACAACACTCAGAATCATACACCAGTGGAGGACACGCACTGGGAGCAAGGTGGGTTAAGTGTCTTGCCCAAGGACACAACGGACAGACTAGGGACAGGACGGGGATCGTAAAGGCCTAACTACAAACACGTCTTGAATTGAGTTACATTTGTTTTATACATTTCTAATAATAATGCACCATGACCATCCAAAATGTTTTTAAATCGATTAAGACAAATACGCTCAAACACTTAAGTCTCTCAAGTGAGTTGGCCCTCTTTCAGAATTACTTGTTGAATCAGGGGTCTTGTGTTCTGATCATGCAAAGCCAAAATTTCCCAGCTAACTCAGAGCAGCTGTTATAGTGTAACTTTCTGCAGTCTCCAATAAATAGATGTCAGCTGATGGTCCGCTCATGCCACTAAAAACATGTCAGTGCCCTCTGGATTTGCTCACATCTTTAGTAATGTGCCTACTCAGCAGCACAAGCGGGAGAAAGTGCGATGACCTGCACCTGCAGTCTCTACAGTATGTTCTCTAGAATGGATTCTGAGATCACAACACTAAAACCAAGATCTACAACAACCAGTGCAAATCTAGTCACTTTATAGTCGCAATAAAAAGGTACAGATATATGTTTGGTTGTTTCACAGCAACAAATGTTGATGAGGAACACCTTGAAGAATGAGAACATACTTGGTCATTAATGTAAAATTATTAATGCTTAAGAAGAACAAGCACAATAGGTGTTTGCCATACTTTTTGTAAGTACACTTAGTGCAGAGAGAGTTAAATATGATTTATGGTTTGAACCAGTGTGGATTTGTTTGATGTAACATGTTAGCATGTTTGATTGGTCTAAGTTTGTTTGGTTTTCCTTTGTTGAAGCTTGGAATAAAATGTAAAAAAAAAAAAAAGGTTTCATCTGAGTAAAGGAGGAAGTCATTTGTTGGATGAACTTCTACTGTTTCAAACTCTGCCCACCAACGCTGAAGATGACAGAGCGCTAAAGCAGCACATCAAAGACATTTTCCAGCCTTTTTGTGTGCATGTCAAGCTTTGTATGAATCTGGCATCCAGCAGTACAGTGCGGTGTTTTTCTTTCCATGTTCTTAACCATGCTCAAAGTCAAGCATGGAGCAGAACTGGAAACAAATGGAGGAGTCTGTTTTTATTTGCTGGTGTGAATAATTATGACTAAGAAAAAAAGTTAAGTTTGCATTTTCTCCTGTAAAGATGTCAAGTGATGTATGTGCATGGCAGGATGAGTTTTCAAAGATACAAAGTGAAGTATTGAGAATAGAAAAAGGAATCTAAAAAGAAAAGTCAAAGAGCATGGGTGGAAACAGTATTCAACTCTGGTTCTCATTGATTTCATTATAAGTCAAACTTGTGGAATTAAAAGCACAACGATCATGCAAATATAAAATCACTGTATAGAAAATAGAATGCATAATTTAATAAATGATAGCCTAACACTTGATAACTTTTTTTTTCAAGGCACCAGAATGGAGCGGGGAGAGTTGCACATCCATGTTATTTAATTTATCCAAAACCAACTTTCTGTAGTGATTTGGTGCTAAATAAATTAATTAAAATAAATTAAATGACGACTTTACTCTTCGTGTCCTATAACAAAGTCAACAGAATGATATGTTCATCTGGAATAATATATGATGATTTTTCTGAAAATATTAAAATGATGTAAATAAGGGGTTGAAGTGATACACAGGTAGTGAGTGGGTGGTTATGCAAATTAAAATCCCCAAAAAAGAGTCGAACCCCAACGCAAAGGGGGGAGCGGCTTGTCAATTAAATTCTGACTAACCAACTTGTCAGATGAGAAAACAGTCAAAATCTTGGATCATTTATTTAACACAGCCAAACACAGGATCATAGAGTCTACCTGCGTAGAGTGTCAAACCGGTTACCATTTGTGGCCAATGGCACAAACTCCACTGGTTAAATGGTTTTATGCCACTTTAACCAGGTACAGCCTACTAACAAATTTACTCCCACTCTAAAGCAAAATACTGCCAAATTATACTGCGCTACAAGATACTACTTTGTGCTTGTTTGTACCCAGATATTGGAGCACTGTCACAACATGGCAGTAGCTATTAACCAGAATACAGCCCCAGCTAGTGGCAGGCTGCAGCACTACAGCATAGAAATAACAAATTACCTACATTTTTGGCCTGTGATCATTAAAAACTCAACAGCTCATTGCCTTACACGTAATTATGCTGATAACTAACCAGGGTGACTACATTTAACTGTTTAGTTGGCTATTTATGACTATTTAAGTTGACTCTAAAAGCTACAAACAAAGACATTTTCTTATAGTTATGCATCCAACAGACAGCTGCATGAAAACAATAAACTAATAGATAGTACTAAAAGTACAATGAAAGACTGTCTTTGTTAACTGGTGGCCACAAAAACTATCACATTTGGATTTTTTTTAAATGCATGTTAAGTTGATTCATGTCTGCTGGAAAATTTGGTCTATAGGGCTAAGATGTCAGAACACTAGAACTCTCATCTAAAACATATACTAACTTCTGAGATTATAGATATGTATGATTTCAGTTTTTAACACTTGTTAATTCTGTCTCTTGAATTAACCACACCCATGAGATCAGAGAGTACGGCATTATGGATAAAAAAACAGCATGACTTCCCCAACAGCATGTCTTCAGAGTTGAAACTTTGATGACCCAACATAGATAGTGTTTGTTTTACTGTCACTCTCCCTGACTGGTGTCATCCATAATGTTATCTCAACCTTTCAAAGATTAATAAACCTTTTCAAGTTTAATGAGATAAGGGATCTGGGGGAGTTTTCCTCCTGCTGTGTTCAAAGACCATCCAGCCGGAGGGGCTGCTTTATCTCAGCCGCTGATTGACCTGGCTGATAGGTGATACTGAGGAACCACAGTGACCCAGGGAAGTGGCCTCTGCACCCATGAGAAGGGGACCGACAAACTTGGCCTCTGCTGTCTGAGAGGACCCCATCAGAGGAGCTCTGGCGTCCCTGAGATGCTGTGTCCTCTCTTTGATTCCTGAGACCAGGCACTTTTGCGTGCCTGCCTCCCTCACACCATCCAATACTGAGCCCATAAAGCAAGTCAGCCTCTCCCCAACTAGTTGGACAGGACGTGTTTTAAGTGTTGCCTGAACGCACCGCCAGGCCAAACGACACCCGGAGGACTCGTAGGACTTGTGATTACTTCTCCTAGCCCGTGCCAAGAGACCATTTTGTGTTCCAGCTCAGTTCTTCGAAAATTTTGCCACTTTTGGCTTGTGACCATGGACCTTTGGGGTTTGTGTCATGATCCATAGCATGGCAAATGCTGTGTTTAAACTATGGGCATTATTTTAAGGGAACCACATAGAACCAGTATTAATAACCTGTGTGAAACTTCATATATATTCATATCAAAGGCTAACCAAATGCCAACAATACAAAATTTCACATCGGGTACAATGAAAAAAAAAAAGATTTAAATAAGTTCAAGAATAACAGCTGTAACTTTAACTTTATATTTCCTTTATTTGATTTAAGACATTCCAGGAGGTGTAAGACAAGAGACTGTGATATGCAGCCAGGGGCTGAGTTGCTCCAGGGAAATGCTTTTTTGTAAGGCAATCCCTTAAAGCAATTCCTCATTATCTCTAAATATATGGAAGTATAAAACAAAGGCCCCCAGAAAAGTCCCTGAGGCATCTGCCTGCAAGGGAGTTGACGCCTCATATTATATCACGGGCTAATCTCTGAGGGGATCATCTGCGTGCAGATACATGAGGCACGTGTCTGCAACACTGAGCAGCAGGTCAGAGAGACAATGTGAAAAGCAACTGAGACTGA